TCAGGAATCGGGTGAAAAAATAAAATTTTGAAATTGAATTTTTTTTTTTTAAATTGATGTTTTTCCCAAAAAAAATGTAATTTGAAATAGGAGGAGAGCTATGAAAAATGTTTTCCTTAATTTTTGAAGGGAAGTCATTTTCTTTAATTTTAAGGAAAATGAGTTGATTTGGAAAATATTTTCCAAAACTTTTGCCCCAACCAAACATGAGAAAATTGGAAAACATTTTCCAGAAAATGTTTTTCTTCATACCAAACAAACTCTAAGTGTGTATATTTAAATTAAATTAAAAGTTAAATTTTAATCACTAAATTAATGCTTTTGAGTTTTAAGTTAAAAGATAAATTTGACCAAAATTTAGAGGCTACCGTATGATATTACATTTTTTAGGATTTTAAGTTACTTTTCTCATATGTTGGACATAATATTTTAAGTTATTTTTGTCAATAAATTAGAAATTTGAATATGTATAGGGTAAATATTGGAGGAAAAAGGATATTTTCACTTGAATATCCAAAATAAATGCGGCAAATTGATCCACTCCTTTTTTTACTACTTCTTTATTTTCTACTATTATAGAAAGGTGGGTAATTCAGTGGTATTAATATGTTAATTTTTTGTTTTTAAAATTTAAATTGAGGGCATTTTTGACTTTTTACATATCATAGCAAACGTGTCTCGGCTGTAAAGCACTATGCGCAGTCTAAACATGCTAAAATTATTGAAAGTCTATTGCATTTGATAAATTTTATTAGGCTTGATATTGCCTACTTTGTTTGTAGATTGAGTATCTATACCTCATAATCCCAATAATAAGCATTGGTTTGTGTTGAATAGGCTGATGAAATATTTGAGAGGAACCATCGATTATGATATAGCGTACAATAGATTTCCTTTTACTTTAGAATGGTATTGTGATGCAGTCTGGATCTCTGATTCAAATGAGACGATTCAATAGTGGATATTTGATCACCTTAAGTGGTGGTGCAATATCCTGAAAATCATCTAAACATACGATCATTCCTAGATCGATTATGAAGTTTGGAGCTAATTGGTTTTGAGGCTGAATGACTAAGAAATATTTTGGCGAATATCCTTTAATAAAGGATGACTTGACAGCCAATCCCTTTGATATGAAGGACGAATATTAATCTCTTCGGTGAAGGACGAATGATTGATTCCTTCGATGAAGGACAAACTAGTGATTTCTTTGATGAATGGTGGATTGTTGATTCCTTCGATTAAGGATGAATTATTGATTCATTTGGTGAAAAATGAACTGTTAATCCCTTTTGATAAGGATCATTTGTTGATCCATTTGATAAGAATGAATTGTCTCATGTGTTTATACACTGAGATTGTGAAGCCGCAATCGATATTTCGAAGAATGAATCTTACCGTTGTAAAATCGGACACATGAATTGAGGCATGATGTCGTTATGCAGCTGCTGAAAGATGGAATAATTGCAATTGATTATGTGAAGTCAAACACCCGTGGGAAGAAAATTAATTCTTCAGACCTCAATAAAACTAGGTTTAAGGCCAATTGTTAGCCAATAGAGATGGGAACCGAAGCTTTGTGATTGAAGATCCCATGAAATAGGTTCGTATGGGTAATAACAAGTCGATATTGACTTTGCGCTCTAACTGAGAGTGTTTGAAACTGCTACTAAAAATGAGGGTTGAGTTATTAACTCTTAATGAATTCATAGTCCTTAATTAAGGAAGGTGTATTTAAAGCAAATTACGCTTGACGAGTTCACCTATACGAGAGTAGGAGTGTGGCCGATCCTATGAGACTTTGACCTAGTCTCTAAAGCTCTCATGAATACCAGGCACACACATGACCTTAAGCGCAAAACCACGTTGAACAACAAAATTATTGTGGTCAAAATGTGATTGTTAAAGTCACTAATTTACAACTAGAATTATTTGGTTCATAGAAATATTATATTTCGCCAATAATTCTGTAAATTAAATTTTATCAATCTAAATTTGCTTTATAGTCCGAATGACACCAAACCTTTTCCATTATCTGAAAATCCTGCAATTTATATTTTTATAAATCTTTTGAAATAAATGGGGAATTGTAAGAAAAATATTTTATTCCAAAAGATAATTTTATAAAGTGTATTTACAAAGACAATAATTAAATCATTTTTGAAATTATTTGGAGAATTGACAAATTGACAGTATACTATTAAGCTATATTTTACACCTTTTTCAGATTTCCATTACTTAACAATTGTCTGATGATAGCATTTTGGATGAAATAAAATGGACAAGTGTCTAGGACACTCGTCTTGTTATCAAGTTACTCATTGGCCTCTAAATAAGCGTATTGCTCTTATGAAATGAATGGCAGCAACAAAGCATTTTGTGCTTACTGCTTCTAAAGTTATCTTCCTAGTTTCTTCATTTTTTCTTAATTTAATTAATTTTGACTTTGTTATTTTAATTTCTCCTAATAATTTGATGATGATAATTAATTTGTTGACTACCACTATTTATTTAAGATAGGAAAGTGCTTGTTTAATCTTGGGGAAACATTTCACACATTTGAAATAGTTTTTAGGACAGTGCACAACACAACTCAAGTATTTATCTATTTACAAAGAGTTTGTGTTATTGACAGTACAACATTTACCATTATTTTACACCTTCTTTTCCACATGTCCAATCCTTCACACTTGTCTGATGATAGCATTTTACATGTAATGAATAGACAAGTGTCTAGGACACTTCTTGTGATCAAGTTACTCAATGGCCTATAAATAGACATATTGCTCTTATGAAATGGAGTGCAACAACAAAATATTTTGTGCTTACTGCTTCTAACGTTTTCTTCCTAGTCTCTTCATGTTTTCTTAATTTAATTAATTTTGACTTTGTTATTTTATTTCCCTAATTACTTGGTGATGATAACTAATTTGTTGATTCCTGCTATCTCTATTTATTTAAGATAGGAAAGTGTTTGTTTAATCCTGGAAAAATATTTCACACCGTTAAAATAGTTTCTTAGGACAGTGCCCAACACGACTCAAGTATATTTTCTGTACTAATATTTATGTATCTTCGTAGTATTTTGTATCTTATTTTCAGGACTACAATTTTGCTAAATAGTAAATATTTTGTTGTTGCACTCCATTTCAAAAGAGCAATATGCCTATTTATAGGCCGATGAGTAACTTGATCAAAAGACAAGTGTCCTAGACACTTGTCCATTTCATTTCATGTAAAATGCTATCTATCATCAGACAAGTATTAAGGAGTAGACATGTAAAAAAGGTGTAAAATAATGGTATATGCTATACTGTCAATTCACCAATTTTTCAAATAATTTTAAAATGATTTAAAACCGGCTCTATAAATACACTTGATAAAATAATCTTTTGAAATAAAATATTTTTCCTACAATCTCTCACTTATTTAAAAAAAAAATTATAAAATCATAACTTGCAGTTCTTTTATGAGGAATTCTATTTTGTAAGTAACATGCAGATAAAATTGCTTCATACCAATATCATAAGCATTAGAACTAATTAACATGGAACTCATCATTTCTTTCAAAGTTCTATTTTTCCTTTCAACTATTCCATTAGACTCAGGTGAATAAGGCGGGTTACTCATGAATAATTTCTTCCTTTTCACATAAAGCATTTAAAAATATAAATTCTCCACTTGTATCAGATCAAATTCTTACCAAGTTAATTTTTAATTTCAAACTTTAAGCAATAAAAACATCAAATACATCATTTTTGTTTCTTAGCAAGTACAACTCAGTAAATATGAAAAAATCATCAATAAAGTCACATAATATCTTTTATCATCTCTAGTCATAGTATGTTCCAAATCATCCAAATCAGTGTGGATCAAAAACAATAATTCAGTTTCTCTACTTACTGAAAAACATGATTTTTAGTAATTTTAGCTTCAGCACATATTTTATATTTATCAAAATTAAACTTTAAATCAGATATTAAACCAAGAGACTGTAGGTTCTTAATATATAAGACATTAACATGTTATAATGTAGCTTGTTATAAAGAAACATGCGAAAGCAAATAGAACTTATGTAATCATCAAAAGTTATTTAAATTTACATCATTTATTGAATTTCGAGATAGCATATTTTTAATATATGACAATTAACATGTCGTAATTTGGCATGCCATAATGAAATAGGCTCAATCATATAACCAATGAAATTATCAGAAATATTAAGCATAAATAAGCTATATATATATATAAAACTCATTTGCCCACAAAATTATTATTTCTTAGATTGTTGGGGAAATGTTAGAAAATTCACATTAATAATAATAAATAACTTTACTATTTACTAAAAAGTGGTCCAGAAAATAAGATGAAAATTGTCACAATAATATATAAATAATAGAGCATATAATTGATAAATACTTGAGTCGTGTTGCATTGTCCTAAAAAAGTTTTCAACAGTGTGAAATGTTTCTCCATGATTAAACAATCACTTCCCTATTTTAAATATATAGAGGTAGCAGAAATCAGCAAAGTAATTATCATCAGCAGGTTATTAAGGGAATTAAAATACCAAAGCTAAAAAAATAATTAGCTTTAAGAATGAAAAGATGTAATGAGAGAGAAGCGGGAGGGAGTATTTCTTGATACTTTCAATTCACAATGTTTATGCATATTTATAGGCAAATGGAATTGTAGGTTGGTTGACAAAGGGGCATGCCACTTGTCCAACTCCTTCGTGACAAGTGGATGAACCTGTTGCAAGAAGGTCAAAAAAATTTGTTTTTTAAAAAAAAGTTAATTGTCATCTCTTTAATTATAATAATGCCAAAATAATTTAATTATTTGACTTTGTAAATATATTTAATAAAATAATCTTTTGAAATATTTTTGTACATATACCAATTCCTAATTTTAGCCACACGTAAAAGTGAGGGGAAAATGTTTAAGTTTTGTTTTTAGACTTCATATTTCTTATTTAAAACTTTGGTAATTTATTTTTCTTTTCACTTCATGCTTCTTAGTGCATGTCACTTAATAGTTGGTCTAACCTATTTTTAAATTAGTTTTTAATTTCTGAAAATATTTGACAAGTATAAAAAATGATTTAAGATAAATAAAAAATGACTTAGAATAATTGTGAAGTGTTTGACGAGGTACAAAATGACTTAAAACAAGAATTAAAAGTAGGTCTCCTCTTACTTTTTATGTTTGACTAAAAAGCTATTTATTTAATTTGTTTGGCACTCAGTTTTAAAATTTTAATTGTCAGAATAAAATTTAATTTAAATAAAATAAAAATTCACGTAAACGTAAACTAAATAGATTGTTTAGCTATTGTATTTTTAAAAGAAATAATTTAAATTTAAACAATTATAATTTAAAAGTTTTTAAATTTGTTTAGAAGTAGGAATAAGATGAAAAGTCTTAAAACTCCTGTTTCAGTTAGATAATTACTTCATCTTTCAAAATAAAAATTAAAACCCTAATTTAGGTGAATATTTTCAATATTATTATTAAAACCAAATAAGAAATTCAATTAGTGTTATTTTTAAAAGAAATAATTTTAATTTAAAAGTTTTTAAATAAGAAGTAGAAGAGTAATAGGAATTGGATAATTACTTTAATTTTTTAGAATTTTTAAATGTAAATTAAAAAAAAATCTGATATAAAACTTAAATATTAACCTAATTCTCCAGATCTAGAGGATTTGGCAGATCAATGGCAAATGTGGAGGAGAATAGACAACAACTACGAGCGATTGCCTCATCGGAAGAGAGTAAAAATGGAGAATACACAGAAGGATCGAGGAAAAAGATGACTAAAGAAGAAACTTTTACAATTTTATCAAAGAAGGAAATGGATACCTCTGCGGGAGGAGACGGGGCCCGGTAATCATCCGTGACTCCGACTAGATCTTCCAGTCGGTGCATCTCCGAAACATCGATCTCAATTTAGACAAATTTGGTGAAATAATTTAAAAAAAGTTTGGTACAAGATTTATGTACCTTTGATTGTTGCAGCGAAATGAAAATTCACGAACTGAATAATTTGCTTCAAATCCTTCTTTGAATCACTAGGAAACAATGATAGTTTTCACAAACTAAATGTTTTATTGTGTTTTTAATCTAAACTTTAGAGGTTTCTGTTGTTTTTTGATATATCGTGGTTTCAAGGTATTATTAATACTTTTGTCTTAAGTTTAGTGTGTTCAAAAGTCTTTTTGTGCTAATTTTTATATAAGTTTCTCCTTATTTGCACGAAATCTGTCCAAAGATGAATGCGAAGGTTTTTGAGTGAAGAAATGCAGAAGAGACCACCTACGGAGCTTGTGACGGTCCGTCTTGCTCGTGACAGTCCGTTGGCAGCAGCGTAGTGCAGCTGCTGAAGGAAGATGGGGAAGTCTGACCAAGTGTAGGGTTACGAAAAGCGTGACGGACCGTCGTATCCATTACGGTCCTCCTGCAGGTTCGTCATAAAGTTCAAAGAAGTAGTCTAGTACCCATATTCCAAGAGTTCAAGTGTTTTGGAACGGAGACCCTCGACGGACCGTTGTACCTTTGACGATCCGTCATACCTGCCGTCGAGGGTAATGAAGAGAGCAGCATAAGAAATTGCATCATGTATGGGACGACGGAGTCCATGACAGTCCGTCATGACCACGATGATCCGTCGCGATGTCCGTCGATCCAGCCGCGTTTTGACAGATTTACAGCAAATAAAGTCCTCGTTTAATTAGGTTTTTATTTTTTTATAAATAATTTGAAAAACCTCGTTTTTGAGGTTAGACTCTAGATTATTTGGTTAGGCCCTTGATTATTGTTAGACCTGATTATTTTGGACTCTTTGTTCTTCAATTAATTTCAGTAATTGATTGTTGGTGATTTTTGTTGATTAATCAAGCGAACTTTCGGATTTTACTATTTCTCATTGAAGTAAGTGCATGAATTCTTATATCTTATATTTGAATATTGTGATTATCACTATGGGTAACTAAACTCCATAACTAGGGTTGTGGGAACCATAGGCGAATAATGAGGTAAAATCTAACTAAAATAACAATTTTAGAATAGTGTCTTGCATGTATTGATAATTCTTTCGCTTAGAAGTCTTTTTAACGGATGGCCAACGTTAGAACTCGCCTTAATGCTACTTGTCGGACCAAAGAGGTAGATAATAGGAAAAGAATTATCAACATAGATTTAGTGTACACTATCTAATAGGCTAGTATTGATTGGTACGAGGTAATAACTTAGTCAAATATCGAATATGATGCTTAATATGAGGTAAAGATAAGGGTTAGTATAGCAACACACGTAGCCGGACCAAGATGTGGAGTGAAATTTTCTAGATGCCGGATCAAGGATTTAGAAATACATAACTTATCACTTTGCATGCAAGATACTAGGAAAGAATTGTTATAGTTAGACTTACCAAGTTATGAACCTGTTGGGAACACGTAAACCCTAGTTACTTTCATTAATTGATTAAACTCCAACATTTGAAGCTGTTAAGTGTCTCTTTCAATTTCGCTAGTTATTTTCGTTTATTTAGAAATAACCCCCCCCCCCCCCCCCTTTTATCATTTTTGCTTTTCAAGGAAGTAATTGACTGAACAATAGTAATAATAGATTGAAGTTAAGTCTAAACTATTTTCCTCGTGGGAACGATCCCAACCTCACTATTTGGGTTATTTACTTGACACGATCGCTTTACTTCTTATTTGAGAAGTAAGTTTGAGCGTATCATTCTTCTTGGATTTTCTTTCTGAAGCGTTCAAGTAAAAAGAAAAGAAAAAAATAATTAATTTAAACAGGTGTGATTATTAACGTTGGAACAATTACATAGCAATTGTTCCCAGCCCTTTTTAAAATTAATACTTATATTTTTCTCTTTTCTTTTTATTATTATTTTTTTTATTCAGAAAGAAACTCTTGGGTTTGTTTGGGTCGGGTCGATCCACATGGGCGATCCAAACCCAAAACTTACATCTCCAACTTCGCACATGGTGGACAAGACCCAAGTCAACATAATATCAACTAAACACACAATTTATACGACAAATAGTTCATGCGACTTCTGAGCATCACAAGCTTACCTTTAAGGTTTTACAAGCACTACATAGGAATTCAATCATATGCGGAAAGAATTCATTATTCTTAAAAAAATCACTACTCACAATACTCCAGACTTCATTCACTACTTTAATAGTTACTTATTCTATCACTCATCCTCTTAAAGAGGTTAACTCAAGTTCATGTTTAACTTTATACACACAATTACACTCAATGCCAATATGGTTAGTGCAATAGCCGGCTTGTGTATATAAGTTTATTATTCATTTAATGTCTTTCCTTTCTACTTGAATCTATGTGCTCCTATTCAACTACTTTCCTAGACATACACTGCATTGCCAAATCATTCGTGACTATTAGTAATATGTTAAAGTAGCAACATCAATTGAAATTTCAAGAAACAGCAAAAGGTCAAAGGGTATTTCATTGAAAAGTCATTTTGACTTTTCTAGGTCTTACACAATGAAGAAGCAGGGAATATTCTTTCATTGACCCGTTGATCGCAAGAAACACATGGTATGAAACACGTGCTACTATATTTTCACCTTATAGTGGTGTATGTGTATCATCATCCGAATTATCCAACATCGTACATATCTCGGTTTAAACACCTCAAGTGTTTAACCCTAGTTTCTCTTTTCTTGTAATCTTTTAACTCATTTTCTTAGAGAAACATTTGTCTGGCTCTTAAAACAAGTCTTAATATGGTGGTGAAACTCATCTATTCACGTTCCTCAACGTAAGAGGTGATTGCTCGTGTGAGAGAGTTAATCCTGCGATTTGTTCGACACATTTTATTTCAAAAAAAATATCACATGCATACTACATTTGAACATAAATTCAATTGTTTAATATATAGGAGAGAATATTATAACAATCAATTCATTTTACAATACTGAAATATCATCATACTTTATGTAAACCTAGATCCTTAACATGTTTTTTTCAAACAAGTCTCTAGAGATGGCCTTCGTAAAAGAATCAGCTATTTGTTCAGGTGTAGAAATGTACTGCAAAGTTATTTATCTATTTGCCACTACGTCTCTCACAAAGTTATACTTGATGTCGATGTGATTGATTTTGTTACGATACTTAGGATCCTTTGTGTATGCGATAGTCGCTTGACTATCACAATATAGAATCATGGGACCCTTAGTATTCTTTGCAATGCTTAAATGCTAAAAGAATCTCTTTAACCAAACAACTTCTTGTACTACAGAGGCACAAGCCACAAATTCATATTCCATTATTGAAAGAGTTGTGCAAGTTTGATTCTTACTTTTCCATGAAATTGCACCACCATTTAGTAAGAAAGAATAAACGCATGTTGATTTTCTATCATCCCGGTCACCAGCCCAATCAGAATGGGTATAACCTCTTATGAGTAAATTGGATCCTTTATAACACAGTGTATGATCTGCAGTTCCTTTCAGGTATCTGAATATTCTTTTTACTACTTTCCAATGATCTCCTCCAGGATTGGATTGATATCTGCTAACTAGACTTACGACATAACAAATGTCTGGGCGAGTACACATCATAGAATACATCAAACTCCCGACAACACTAGAATAAGGAACTCGATACACTTCTTCCTTTTCTTTTTCAATCTTTGGACACATTTTAATGTTTAAAGTTTCACTCCTTGCTACAGGAGTATCCATGGATTTGCATCTATTCATTCGAAATGTTCCAATATTTTCTTTATATAAGTTTCTTGAGATAAAATTAAAAATTTCTTGGAACGATCTCTTCGGATCTTAACACCCAATATATAGTCTATTTCACCCATATTTTTCATATCAAATGATTTTGAAAGCCATGACTTGACAGTTTTTACATACTCCAAATTATTTCCAACTAATAAAATATCATCTACGTAAAGAGAAAGAATTACAAATTTTCTATTGAACTTTTCCACATAGATGCAATGGTCCTCATCGATCATGGTGAAATCAAATGACATCATATGCTTATGAAATCTCATATACTACTTCCTTGAAGATTGCTTTAGGCCATAAATTGATCTTTTCAATTTTCAAACTTTCTTTTCTTGACCTTTAACAACGAAACCAACTGGTTGTTCAATGTAGATTTCTTCATTTACTTCTCCATTTAGAAAAGCGGTATTCACATCCATTTGGTGTAACTCTAGATATAAACGTTCAACAATATCTAAAAGTAATTGTATAGATATAAATTTCACAACTGGTGAAAAAGTTTCATCATAGTCTTCTTGAGTAAAACCTTTTGCAACTAATCGTGCTTTATGTCTTTCTATTGACCCATCTGATTTATGTTTAACTTTAAGAATCCATTTATTCCCAATAGTTTTACGTTCCTTAGGAAGGTCAATTAGATCCACACTTTGTTAGTTTTCATAGACTTTAATTCTTCTTTCATCGCTTTTAACCATTCTTCCCTTTCAGGTCTTGATAAGGCCTCAATTACAGAATTAGGTTCATCCAATTTGTGGGAGATACCAAGAAACCATAATTTCAATTTCATAAGATCGTTTAGGTACATCTTTTCTTGTACTATTACATATTTGAAGTTTGTATTTCTCTATAGGATTTTGAGATTCATAACTCCCACTTGGACCAGAAATCAAGTTGATCTGACAACATTACGTGATCTTCTGAATTTAATATTTCGTACAGAGGCTCAACTTCACCTATTTCACCCTTTTTGGGAAAATCATTTTCAAAAATTTGAAATCTCGTGATATAATTTTAGTAATACTTCTATTCTCCAGTTCATCGATGAACACATATCCTTTAAAGCATTCAGAGTACCTTATAAAGATACATTTCTTTCCTTTTTGACTTAGTTTGCCAAACTCATTGAAACAATTTTTAATATATGCCGCACAACCCCACGATCGTAGATCATTCATGTTTGTTTTATGACCAATCCAAAGTTCATACGGAGTGGAAGACACTAATTTAGAAGGAACTTTGTTCAATATGTAAGTCACAGTTAATAAAGCATCTCCCCAGAAAGATATAGACAAATTGTCTGCGCCATCATTGATCTTGTCATATCTTATAATGTTCTATTCCTTCTTTCAGCTACACCATTTTGTTGAGGTGTATAAGGAGTAGTAAAATGTCTGATAATACCTTTTTCAGTACATAATTCTTCAAATTGTTTTGACAAATATTCATGTCCTTGATCAGTTCTTAAATCTTTAATGATTTTATCTA